CATTTATTTATATAAAGAACAAAGATCAATCAATGGTATATTGTTCGTTTTGTTCGATAACCTTTTGCCATCTTTCAGTGAGCTTCATAATTCCTCATTCATAGAAGGACCTGTCTTTATTTGCGAAAAACTGAACAAGATGCTGATTTACAGCCTCATCTGAATTGAACGTTCAAAACGCAAGGAGTTTTGAAGAGAGCAAAACAAGTGGAAGTTTTACAGCTCAAGGTCAGGCGAGTATGGTGGGTGTGGCAACACATCCCATCCAAGCTCCAGTAATTTTTGACGGATGATCAAACTTGTGTGTGGTCTCCCGTTGTCGCGATGGAACACAACTCCTTTACAATTAACAAGCTCTGGACGTTTCTGGATGAAGGACTCATTCAAACTGTCCAATTGCTGACAGTATACATTCAAATTAATTGTTTGGTTCCTTGGTAGGAGCTTGGAAAACACGACACCTTTAAAATTCCACCACACTGAAAGCATAACCTTCCTCTGATGAATGTCTGCTTTCGATGTCATTTGAAGCGAATCATCATGTTGGGACCAAGACTGTTTGCACACCATATTGTTGTAAATAATCCACTTCTCATTACCAGTTATCAGTTGCTTAAAAAAATGGTCATTTTCCTCACGTTTAATGAGCATATTGCAGATGTTTATATGCGCCATCAAATGAACTTCTTTGAGTTCATGCGGAACCCAAATATCGAGCTTGCTTACATATTCCAGCTTCTTCAGGAGGTCGTGAATACTTGAATGATGGATGTTCAATGTTCCTGCAATCTCTCGTGTCATGTAATGTGGGTTTGACTCAGTCAATGCCTTTATTTTGTCTTCATCAACCTTGGTGGGCCTCCCTGACCGAGGAGTGTTGTTGAGATCAAAATCACCAGCACAGAATTTTGTGAACCATCGTTGGCACTGATATTCTTGTAGAGCATTGTCACTGTAAACTTTATGCAACTTTTCACAAGCTTAACACGCATTCTTCGCATATTGGAAGTAAAACAGTAAAATATGGCAAAAATGCACAGTTTGGTCTTCCATCTTCAACTTGTTGTACAGTCTCCAAAACTCAACCAAATCGCTCAATTTTAACCACATAAAGAGGAAGGGATTAGCGGCAGACAATACCATATCCTAGAGATATTGTATAAAGTATACCTGAGGGAATATAGCAAACCCAGAGAACATGCCTCAAGCTTCATTGTGGAACTGGAAAGTTATTCAGGGACAACTCTGTTGACTGGACTCTCTCCCTCTGTCTTTCCAATTCTGTCTCCTCTGCCTGCTGACTCTCCTTGGGTATCTCCAGTCCATGAGCTCCAAAGAGGGATTTGATTGATCCTTTTTGGGTAGTATGAAAAATGACATCAGAGCTTCTTAGAGGGAAGAATTTCATACAGTACTTTGAAGATATGGTCTGTCCCATTTATATAGGAAGTTAGTACTTGTTTCCACTATCAAATTATGAGCTTCTCTTATATCCCAGAGCTTATCACAGGCATATCTGACACATAGTAGGTGCTCATCAAATGTTTGTTTTAAATAGACATTGAATGTTACATGAAAATTGGCAAGTATCATCACTGTGTTCCCATTACCACTAGGACTGGTGAAAACCATCAGGAGTGTCTGCCCATGTTCCAAAAGCCAGGGGTCGTACTTGGTAGAGACTCAAAGAGCTGATTAAATGAATGTTGTGATGTTAACATTAACCATAATCAATAGTAATAAATATACAAGGTACACACCTGTATACCATTCTTTCTGGATACCTTGACCCCAGTTTGAATAGATACCACAGGGTGGAGAAGAGAATTGAAGTAACACAATGCCAACATACTGCTTACATGCCTGTAAGAGATGAATAAACAGAGATACAAATGGTATTGCTAAATTTTATTTATTTATTTTTAATATTTTTTTTAATTGGGGGGTTGGGGGATGGGAACAGCGCTGGGGAATTGGGGAAAGGGGAACAGGCAAGTTGTTGTCCTTTTGTTCTTCAGTCTAGTTGTGGAGGACGTTGCTTCACTGGCCCAAGCTGGCACCATCATTGCGCTCTTCCCGGGCGAGGCAGATCAGTCTCCAGCTTCTTGACAGCCACTCACAGTGGCTACTGGCCGCTCACATTGGTTGCTGGCTACACACGGTAGCCCATGGCAACCCACTGCAGCAGGGGCTGCAGCCTTCGCTGTCACTGGCGACTCACAGCAGCCCAGCTCCAGGTTGAGCTGTTGTTCAGCATCTTAGCTGTAGAGGGCAGTGTCACTGGCCCTCATATGTGGGATCCGAACCAGGGCCCTCTGGCATCCCAAGTCAGCTCTTAACCATTGCGCCACTCGGCCGGCCCTGGTATTGCTAATTTTAAATTGTAGTTTTAAAAAAATAAATGCTATATTTATTTTGTTCAAAGTTCAAGAGATACATATGGACATAAAGTTAAAACTCCCTCCCTCCCCAGTCATGCAGCCATCCCTGTTCCTTCCCAGAGGCAACCAATATTATCAGTTTCTTTTCTGGAAAGCATTTCCTTTCAGAGATACTTTTTGTATATCATAGTCATTTCAAAAATACGTATTACCTATACAATGGCTGTACCTCATTCTGCTCAGCTTACCAGTCACTGCTGTAACTTTTTCTGTGTTCCCAATTACTCTGCTTTTTCCCTGGAGTCAGTGATCTTTCTGAGCAAATATCATTACTTTGGGGTTTATGTGATTTGTTAATTAATTAATTAATTAAAAGTTTTCAGAGCTAGCCTGCTTGTCTCAATCACAGTAAAGCCTCCTTTTTGTTTCCTTAAGTAATCAGCCCCACTTTCCGGTTTTTCCTTTAGATAAAACATCGAGTTGTTTCTATAGTGTCCCTCCTATGTGCCAGGAGCTGTGCTAAACACTTTACCCCAATCATTCTATTTAATCCTTATAATGATCCAGTGAAATTGACACAGTGTGATCCCTGTTATACAGATGGAGGAACTGAGGCCTAAAGAAGTGAAATAACTTACCCAAGCTTACCTGGCACGTGGCAGAACTGGGATGTAAAGCCAGTCTCTTCACTCAAGAGCCCCAACTCTTGAGTATTCCTCTGTACTGTCCCCTAGGAATTCACTTTTATGAAAGGAGATCAAATGGACACTTCCTAGGCAATGATAAAGTCAGACACAGCAGAGCCTGCGTTTCTTTCAAGAACTGGGATTTGCCCACTCTAGGTTTTTCTTGTACCAGGTGAAAATGGGAAGAGAATTATATGCACTAATATTTCATCCAGGTAAAGGGTGGACTGTAGCAATCCATAAAGATCCTACAGCTAGAAAGGAGATCAGGGCTCTAAATATAAAGAGACATAAGGGTATCCAGACATAAGGGTATCCACAGGATTGTAGAAATCTGTAGAGGCCTCACTTGGTTCATCATCGCATTGTTTCAGCATCTGAGCTCTATCGACTGTCCTACAGAATCAGGAGTAAAATCTTTCATTTATCCTAGATTTTGCTCTTCTACAACTTGTGTTTCCCAAAAAGAGCCTTGCTTTTATGATAGACTTTAGTTCTGTGTGAGCTTCTCACAGGGATATTCAAATTAATAACATAATGTCTGGCTTGGTTAGGGTTGCCCAAAAAACAAAGCTTGAGGCAAGAGTTTAGGTACTACTGCTTTATTCAGGGGTGCAGATCAGTGTGAATGAGCTGGATTTAAAAAGAGGAAAACTTAATACAGAATAACAAAGTTTCCCTTTTATTGTCCACAGTTTTGGCCCTGAATTTTGTATTCCAGAAATCCCTAGATATGTACTATTAATAATTGTAAAAGTCTGTCTTGGGGTGTGGGGACAAGTGTTGGAGGAGGGGGACAAGTGAATTGTTACCAAGTAAGTGTGGCCTTTTTCATACATAAAAAAAAACCTCATTAGTTGATTTTTCTCCTTGTGATTAGAATGCAATTTATACAAATACATAAAGGGCTAAGTTATAGGAAAATCAGTTTACATAGGGCAACTTAGGAAAGGTAAATATTTACGGAGAAAGCATTTTACCTTATTAGTATTAATAAACACAAGGGAACTTAAAAGTTAAGAATTATATTTTTAAATGTATGTTTGGATAAAAATGAAAGGTTAATTTCTAAGTGTATTTGTTGAAATAATATTTTATTAAAAATACTATATCTTGAATGGAAAAATTTCTTGTTCTGGCTTATATGTACTCTATAAAGGTGCTTTTCATAACATGAGTGAACTGGAATGTGGCAGATGGTTTAGATTACATCTTGTTTTGTCTTGTTAAAGTGGAGGAGAAAAGAGGTGGTGTGAACGTGAGCCAAGCTGATTTATGATTTTTAGGGTCAGCTCAGTGGGGAAAGGTGAGTCTTGAACCTGCCGTTGATTGCATTTGGATCTAGATCTAGAGACCAAGTTACGAGTATATAAAACCAAAATAGTAACAGAGAGTTAGAGGCTTATTTAATACATCACTTTACTAACTTGCAAAATTATTCCTATAGCTTTTTTTACAAAGACTCCAAGGTGAAATGGGGAGAAAGAGTTGAGTTCTCTAGACTTTTTTTGTAAAACGCAATTTCATAATCCAGAAGAATGAGGTTTTTCACTTAGGATGGAAATAATGCTGCCAAATACAAAAACAAAATACATACTTAATACTCTACTGACAAACTGAGTTCTGCATTCTTTGTTAGTTACATTCTGAATTTATGCAAGTGTTTAAAGACTTGCATAAATGAAGTAAATATTTTGGTTTTTGCAGGAGTTATCTAAGCAAGACAGATGCTATAAAGAGTACATAAACTATTTTTCAGGGTGTTTTAAGTTCTATTTTACTATCAATTTATATAGTTTTTGAATAATTGTTTTAGTATAAAATTACATTTTATCCTAGATAAAGAAATGTTTATATAAAGGCTATGAATAAGTTATTTCAAATACTTCAAATGAGAATAATAATTCTAGTTCTTATTTCTGCTTCTATTTAGGCACCAAAATATAGACAGAATGGCAGATTGCTAGTGTTTGATCCAAATGGTAAATGATTTATGTAAAAAGAATATGTTTAACCACCATTTTGTCCTAAATGTTAAGAAGATAGTCCACTGGAATGTTTGAGTGTGGTTGAAAGACTTAGCAATTAAATTCTTTATTATTGTCTGTCATTAAAAAAAAATGTCTAAGTATCTGCCATCAGGAATTTCTATTAGGAACATCACTATTGATAAAATACTGAGTTTTTTTTTTCTTTTCTTTCAGAAAAAGTGATGATTGAACCAAATGAAACAATGTCAGAGTAAGAAAATGTCTGGTTGTGCAGCTGATCTATGGCATGCCTTTTGAACAATTAGAACTAGATATGCAATCATTTGCCACCCAATTAAATTTGAAAGGCCAGAAATGCATGGAGTAGCACTTTAGCTTTTGCTTCAGTCAAAGCAGTTGTTACTAGATAAAAGGACATTTTAAATGAAAAATGAATTTGGATAAAAATGTAGAGATATAGATAATCACTTCCACTTTTAAATGCTTGAACACCAACTATTCTGTATTTTACTTACATAATTTTCATTCCTCATTCCGATTTCTCTTTGATACTTGCTCATTTCTTTCAGAATATCCCTTTAAATCAATATTTACTTTAAAATTAAACAGACTCTTTATTTACTATGAGATGAATCATGACTACTAAATAAGGAAACTATATAATCACCCCAAGTAGTTGAAGAGATTGATGTTAGAAAGAATCAGAGTAGCAATTTAGTAGCTAAATATTAAGTACCTGCTTTGTTCAAGGCATTGATTCTGATCATTCATCAAGTCCTTCCTGATAAGATCACCACCTACTCCCTGAAAAAAAAAATGCTATTATTTATTCCATGAAAAATTACACTTTGAAAATTGATCATAAAGCACATTCATAGAGATCAGTTATTGACAAGTTGGTAGGCACCCATTCTGGTGGGATTCTATTCAAATTAATATTATTTTTATTCTGAATATTATTGGCTATATGAAAAATTAAAATTAGAATCCACCTTGGCTTTGTTGTAAATTATATATTAAATACATATTTTTATATTAGACAGTAATATATAACAGATCAATGATGAAAATCGGTTTATTTCAGATTAAATGTTATAACAACCAGAAAAAAATAAATGCCCTGTTAAGAATATTAATCTATGGGGCCCGCTGAGTGGCTCAGTTGGTTAAGGGTTGGCTTAAGAGCACAAGCTCTGAGCAACAGGGCCGCCGATTCAATTCCCACATGGGCCAGTGACGCTGCGCCCGAGCTGAGCTGTCGCTGAGCTGCCAGCAGGTGGCAGGATGGCTCAGCTGGTGTAACAACAAGATTGCCTGTTCCATGGTGGGCTACGCTCACCACAACTAAAACTGAACTTGGCACCTTGAGCTGCGCTGCCGCCCAGATAGCTCAGTGGATAGAGCATGTGCTCTTAACAACAAGGCTGCTGGTTCGAATCCTGCATGGGATGGTGGCTACGCCCACCCTCAATTAAGAGAACACAGCACCTTGAGCTTAGAAGCCACAAGCTGCCTACAGGAAGCCAGATGGCAACTGGCGCCCTCCACAACGAAGACTGAAGAACAACAACTTAGCTGGTCCCCTTCCCCAATTCCCCAACACTGTTCCCCTCCCCCAACTCCCCAATAAAATCTTAAAAAAAAAAATCTATACGTAAATAAATAAATCCTATTATGTGGTTGAAAACATTTAAATTTAAAAATCTAAGACAATTTTAGCCTTTGAGGGAAATATAACTTGCAATAATAATGACAGAAGTTAGTAGGTCATTAATAAAATAAATTACTGTTTTGTCTACTATGACCCCAATGTTCTTACACTGTGATAGCAGTGTTGGAACTGGAGCAAGGAGCAATGCATGTCCTGAGATAGTTAAACCCCAGGGATAAATCAAATGCAGCCTGGGCAAAAACAGAAAAGCAGAGTGACTACTTGTTCTCTTTGTTATTTTTTTTTTAAAGTCATCGTCAGCTCTAATGACATTTTTTTTTTAATTGGGGAATTGGGGGAGAGGAACAGACAAGTTGCTGTCCTTTTGTTCTTCAGTCTAGTTGTGGAGGATGTGGCTTCACTGACCCATGTTGGTATTGTCATTGCGCTTCTTCTCGGGTGAGGCAGTCACTTGTCAGCCATTGGACGGCCATTCACAGCAGCTCACAAAAGCTCACACCCACTGCCAGCCAGCCCCACTGCAGCCTACGCCATTGCCAGCAACTCAACGGCAGCCCAGCTCCAGGTCGAGCTGTTGTTCACCATCTTAGCTGTAGAGGGCGCAGCGTCACTGGCCCTCATGTGGGATCTGAACCGGGGCCCTGCTGCTCAGAGCTGGCGTCCCAAGGGAGCTGTTAACCAACGTGCCACTCCGCCGGCCCACTACTGTTCTCTTGATCTTACTAATGATTGCATCTGCTTATCAAACTATTGTACTTTTTACAAGGTTATGATGATCATGTTCCCTTTAATTTGCTTGCCAAGAAGAGTTTGGGTTGAGATTGGCTGTTGTTTGAAGTGGGGATAGGAAGGGATGGTTATTGTAGCCAGTAAGCTTCACCATTGTGCCTCTTTGTCACCTTAGGTACCTTACCCAGAGTTAAAGGCAAACAGGGTCAGTCCTGGAAAAAAAAAAGATCAAGTAAGAAAATAGAAAATCCTGGGAGACCTTTGCTGGGGGAACAGTGTGGCTGAACTGCAAGTTGATGAATTTTCTCAGTGTGGCTTCCATTCCACTTTCCACCCACTGCTGGCTCCATAGTCTGACTAGCAAGTGGAATTTGCCAGACGGTCCTATCCAGCTTGTGTTAGGGAAAGTTAGAAGTTTACTTTCCCCACCAGTTTTTTGCCTTAATCTTCTAATTGATTCTTCATCCTAGTTTGAGCCATAAGGACTTTATAAACCACAAGTTTCAAACTTCTCTGCATACAAAACCCACATTTATATTTTCCTTTCCCCCCCATAGATCCTATGTGTAAAAAATATTGTCTGCAGGGCCAGCCGAGTGGCTCAGTTGGTTAAGAGCTCGTTCAAGAGTTTGATCTCTGAGCAACAGTGGTTTGATGCCCGGCCTGAGCTGAGCAGCCACTGAGCTGCCAACAGGTGGCAGATGGCTCAGCTTAAAAAACAAACAAAAAAATACTGTCTGCCCAACAAATTGCGTTTAATTAACAAAATTTTCAGTAGTAAAGGTAAAATGGAGGGTGCCAAAAAATGTATACACATTTTAAGAAAGGAAAAAACTGTATTAAAATTGTGATAATATATACCAACAACAAAGATGAACACAAGTCATGTGTATACATTTTTTTTGGCACTCCTGGTTTATTTTTAATGCTGGACAAAATTTTATAGGTCTTTGATCTGTTGGGTTTTTTGGTCAAGCTTTTGAGATGTGAGGTGGAAATGGCTGAAGCAGAACCACAGCACTCAACTCGATGAGGTTGAAAATATCATATGTATATGTTATTCCATAATATGTTTTATCTTTTCTAAAATGAATGAAAGTTATTTTTTTATTCCCATTTTTACACTTTAAGTAAATGCCTCTTTGGACATAACCAAGATTCAGCAAACTTTACACGTCAACAATATAAATTTCTCTAAATGTAGCTAAGACATTCTTAGAAAAGTAAGTTTTAATTAATTTTTTTAGGCCCATGTTTGACAAATTATAAATCATTTTAAAACAAAGTTTAAAATATAAACTTCCTGAAAAACTTGTTAATTCCAATAGAAATTGGGGGACATTTCATAAATATGCCCAGTGCTCTTAACGAAGGAGTAATCCTAAAACCTAGGTTATCTACCCTCTAGCATAAATATATTCCAGAGAGATAATTTACTTGACTAACTCTCCAGCCTTAGCAGATACTAAATTAAACATCTTCCATTTCCAAAAGATATTACATAAAATTTTGAATGTTTCCTCAATTGTAACTATTTAAACAGATCTTTTAGAGTGTACTGGTTATCTATTTTTCTTAAATGGTTAGAGGCATTATTACCATAATAACATCACTTTTCTCAAATGGAAATCAACAGATTATAGTTAAAGAGTGGGTCAGACTTTGGGCCTTTGATTCTTTGAAACTGTATATGAGAAAGACTACAGAAAATGAGCAGAAAAGGAATCCATATTTTGCTGTTAATATGATGATTTGATCAATGCTTATATGTATTTTTATGACACGTTCACTGCTTCCAAATAGTAATATCCCATTTATCTTCAGTCTGTTGCATATGTTGGCTTCCTCCATGTTGTAGCATTAAGATTTGTAATGACATTTTCAGTTATTCAAATACCCAGAACCATACTAGCTAAATTCCCTTTCTTGGGGATATAACTCAATGAGTATATAAGTACCACATTTCATATTTAAAATATACATACATTTTCTTCATAGTTTAACATCTCTTACAATTGATGGCATCTCACACTTAAACTTGGCAATGCTTTTTCTTTCTTAAATAATGGTATGTCTTCTAATAAATAGATGGTATCTTAGATTCAATGAAATACTGTAAATTGTGTGTGGGGGGGGGGAAGGCAGGCAGTAAAGGCCTTTTATCTAGATTAGCTATTAGAGCAAATAAATCCTAGTAATCACTTGTGGTGACCTTTGGCATAATAAAAATCTCACCATGCTAGAAACTGAATTCCGAAGTGACTTCTCAACTTCTCATATATAGAGTTTCTATTTGGATGCTTTTTTTTTCACAAGTAGAAAATCAAGGAGGACAGAGGCAGAACAAATGTAAATCATTTTGGCTGTGCACTTTGTATTACCAGGGAGCGGTTTTGCTTTCGCAGCACATACTGGGGAAGTGAAGATTCTATTCCCTCCCATAGTATTAAGAATATCACAAGCTGTTCAGCCTCTTTGTTAAAATCACTGCACAAGACCACTAACTGAACTGCAGTGCTAATGTTCTGGATTCACATTTCAGTGGGGAAAAAAAGAGCCACCACAACTTTGAGGAAAAAATATTTTACATCTCTTTATATCTTTGCATGAAAACTAGAAGTTGAATTTTTTAAACTTGATAAAGGAGATATAGGTATTAAAAGAATCTTAAGACCACAGATAGCAAGCAGCCTTGGGGTTATTTTTTCCACCAGCATGGGTGCCTATGTGTAAACAGTACATCACATCAGACTCCTGTGACTCAAGTTATTTATTGACATGAGGTTTCAGGCTCCCTGAAAAAGAGAAATTAACCCATTTTTATTTCAGTGACTTAATGGAAAAACAGGCTACTTTATATTATGACCAAGGGTTAATATGAGTGTTGGACTCTCTCCGTAAGTGTAGCATTTAACAATGGTAAGAACTGAGTTACAAACTTAAAGAAAAAAACTCAAGGTTAGCATTCCTTAAATAGTTTTATTCCATCATGTATATCACAGTGATGTGCCAAAGACATTCATAAAACTGTTTGCTTATATGCTTTGTGTTAACTCTGAAAAGATTCTAAGAATCATCACACAATGACAAATGCCAGGTAGAAATTGAATCTTAATCATTAGTAAAATTTATTTTTAATGCTTTTCCACAAAGATACTGCATTTTGGCTATTTAGTGTATTGTTGGTATATTATATTGTGTGTTTACATTAAATATGTGTGTATGTACTCTGTTTAAAGCCTTAAACAGAATTGTGACCTAGGAAAGTATTTTTTTTACTATTTAACATTTAGGAAGGAAGTCTCTTCAAAAAACATTGAAAATAAAGTCTCTTTAAAGAATACCGAAAATGGAGTATCTTCAAAGAGTGTTGAAAATAAAGATACAGAGGCACATCTACAGTCTAAACTATGGCCATCTTCCTTCTTAAAAGAAAGCATAGGTAATACCATTTGTTTTATTTCAGTAGCTTCTAATTCAGCCCTCCTTCGCCATGACTTTTGGGATTTTGACAACTTTGTAGGTCTGGGGCGGGTCATAGAAATACGTAATTCTTCAAATTCATGTACTGATGATATGTAGTCAGGGATCCATGGGTGTGAATTACATAAAATGATGATGGGGTATTAAATTTTAGAGTGAGTTAAAATACCTATGAAAGCATTAACAAGCTCCATTCATTCATACTGAGTGCTGGGCACTGGTTTAGAAACTGTGGATACAAGTTAGCAAATAAGCAAGGTCCTTACCTTCATGAAGTTCACATTCTAGTGGAAGACAGCCAACTATTAAACATAAATAATAAACAATAAAAGACAAATAAGACAATGACAGGCTGTGGTGGGTGCTGTAATGTGAATAAATGGCACCTGGGAGAGGACTACCTTAGATCATGATGCTCAGTGTGTGTTTGTGAATTAAATGAGACAGTTCCTGTGACATCACACAAAGCCCTTAGTTCCCTATTCTGTGCTTCCCTGATGACATCAGTGTGATGAGTCAGTCAATAGTGTGGGTGCACTCTGGAAGGTAAGGGTGATTGTCAGCTGATGGAGATTGTAAATGAAACAGAAACAGGTAGGTGGCCCGAATATCCCAGCCATTCTACTCTTAGAAGGACTTGGCATCTCTTTTCAGGGTAGCTCTTTTTGTTTATAGAGTCAAGAGTTTGCTTTAGAGTCAAGAGTTTTGCCAGTTTTTTCTTTTGTTATTTTGATCTGTCTTTTCTTGACATTGTAATCTCTCAAGCTCTTCTGCATTTCCTAGTTTTCTTCTTTCTAACACAAGTGTTTCTATATTATTTAGAGTAGTTCATGGTCACACTCCCATCAAAGAAGGCATCTCACAGGACTTTCTAGACACTCAAAATCTTACAAGAAAGGGATGGTGTAGCACAAGTCCAATTTGAAACTGAAAGACATCCTTAGAGCCAAAGGAGTTGGCAGGCTCACTCAATAGTTTCCCAAAGAGATAAGTTTAGGAAACACATAGTAAACTTCTTTTAAAAAATTACTTTAATAGTAGTATATTTTAATGTGTGTTAGAAAAAACATAAGAAATGGTTAAGAATATGGACTCTGGGGCCGGCCGAGTGGCACGTTGGTTAAGAGCTGGCTTGCAACGCCAGAGGGCCCCGGTTCGGATCCCACATAGGAAGGCCAGTGACACTGCCCTCCACAGCTAAAATGCTGAACAACACCTCAACCTGGGGCTGGGCTGCCATGAGTTGCTGGCGATGGCATAGGCTGCAGCCCCTGCTGCAGTGGGCTTCCATGGGCTACCGTGTGTAGCCAGCAGCCAGCGTGAGCAGCCAGCAGCCACAGTGAGCGGCCATCCAGAAGCCGGCAACTGATGTGCCTCGCCTGGGAAGAGTGCAATATGGTGCCAACTTGGGCCAGTGAAGCAACGTCCTCCACAACTAGACTGAAGAACAAAAGGACAGCAACTTGTCTGTTCCCCTTCCCCCAATTCCCCAGCGCTGTTCCCATCCCCCAATTCCCCAATAAAAAATCTTAAAAAAAAAAAATATATGGACTCTGAAGCCAAACTGACTCCCAGATCTGCCACTTAATTAGCAGTGTGCAGTTGGGCAGGTCATTAATCACTGTCTTTCAGTTTCATCTATGAATGGGATGTAAGTAGTACACACATCCTTAGCATATTGAGAGAATTAAAGGGGCTAATATATGTAGTGTTCAGAAGAGTAATGGCATATAATGTTCATTATGATTATTATATGTTACTTTTATTAATGCATCCACCAGTTTTGTGGATAATTATGATCTGGCAAAAATTATAAGTTAAAGCAGATTCAAAGAAAAATATTAAATAGTATAGTTGATACTCATATATGGCAAAATGGATGAAGATAGTATAAGAATTACTGATGTTTGGAAAATGTTCCAATAGATTGTGCCATAGAAATTTATATTTTAAACATTTCATCTATCACCTCCTCTCCATCCCTATTTTACCAGGGCTGTATCATTAATCATCTCTCTCACCTGGACTTTTTAAAGAGATCTTTAATCTCTCCCCTTGCTCTTTTTTTTTTGGGTGGGGGAGTGGTCCTTCCCTCAAATACACTTTCTACCCTGCTATCCAAGTTGCTGCCCCTCCTTGGAAAAACTGGTCCACCCAGACTGGGCAATTCCTGACCACTCCCCAGACTGGGATGGGGCCCTCCTTTGTTCTCCTGTTTACACATTTTTATCACTGTACTTCCATACTGTTTTGTAATTAGCATAGTGCCGGGTACTGAATGGGTAGTCAGTGGTACTTAGTTTTTATTTTTCAGTCACCTATGTTGGTTATAGGTAATGTGACTTGACGTTAAGAAAAATCATTAATAATGTTATGTAACTTCTGGTTATATTTAGAATACTCCACATGTATTTCTTCCTAATTTGTGTGTGTGTCAATTCTCAAGTATCCAAGGAGTGATGTGACCTAAGAAGAATTATTTGCTTCTCAGCCTCTCCCGTCTTTTACTCTTCAAGCTCTTTATTTCATATTTACCTTCCTATAAGGACAGTTTAGGAAATATATTTCTGGAGATACAATAGCATGAATTTCTTTTTTCTTGAAATTATTATATTCTTTGTGAACAAAAATGTTTCCATTTATTAAAATTTCAAGCACCAAACAGGTAACATCAGCTCAATGTTATTGGTTTGGGTTTTTTCCTCTTTCACTTGGAAGTTTTATTACCTTTTTTGAAAACAGAAATCAGCTAAGTTTATTGCAGTGCTGTTTAGTCTTAAAAAAAAATTTACTTCAGAACAGGAAGCAATATACTAAACATTACATTATAATTTAGGAGTAACCATTTTTAATTTTTGAACTTTTCAATATTTTTTATTAAATTATATTCTGTTTTAGGTGAGGTGGGCAAAGATACAGTCATTGCAAAGAAAGACAAAAATAATGAATATTGCCTTCAAGATACTGATGATAAGTTGTACAAATCAACAGATGATGATGGTGAAGATGACACCAATGATGAAGATGATAGTGAAGACAGCAACCCGAATAAGCATACTCATGCCCCATTAGAGTTAATGGCAGAAGTAAGTTTTACTTGTGCATTATAATTTAAGAAACTTAAAAGTGTTAAAATAACTAAATAGTATATGGCCTTGAAGTCTAAAAAAATAGTTAAAAGATCCTTACCCATGTATAGATGCTTACTGGCTATTCATCTCTCTTACTACTTTTACCAGGTTCTGGGTGAGAGAAGATTCTGGAAATGACTTACAGTATTCTCGTAAAGGCAGTGTTTTACATCAAAACTCTTCAACGACTTTTTCAGGAATGCTTTCTATGTAAAGCATGGGCACCATGCTAGTTACTGGAGACGTGTATAAATAAATAAGAAAGACATGTCCTACCCTTGAGAACTAATGCACATATTACTTATATAATACAATTTATAATAAAATTAAATATGTGCTAGTAGAAGTATTTATTAAGTTCTCTGGGAATAGGGAGGATTAAGTGACTAACTGAGAAAAGAAGCAGGAGAAATGGGATAAAAGGAAGGATTTTTAGAGGAAGACACAGAATACATCTTGAGAATTTAAAGGAAGAGGGAAGTGTAGGAATTCATCTGATAAACAAGTGGAGAAAACATAGCATAGAAAACGGCATGTACAAAGGCGTTAAAGCCTAAAATGTCACATGCAAATATTGTACGTAAACATTTACTAATAATTCTATGCAGAACAAAACAATTTTACCTCACTTCTTGTGGTCTCACAGTCCACCTTTAATTAATATTACACAACTTCATGTATATTGTAAGAACTTCATAATAGTACATTTTCATTTCCCCTTCTGATCCTTTGTGTTATTGTTGTCATACATTTTACTTCTACATATAAGTTCCACAATATATTGTCTCATTGTTTTTAAATGGTCAAATATCTTTTAAAGAGATTTTTAAATTGGAAAATAATCTTTTTTGGAATATATTTCTGGTGTTCTTCATAGCATTGTGTAGGTCCAACTTTCCACTTGATATCATTTTCCTTTTACCTGAAAAACTTCCTTCAGTATATCTTATAATGCAGTTCTGGCAATGAATTCTCTCAGCTTTTGTTTTTCTGAAAAAGTCTTAATTTCACCTTCATTTTTAATGGCTATGTTAGCTGGAGAATTCTAGGTTGCCAAGTTATTTCCTGTGCTTTGAAAGGTTGTTCCATCGTCTAATACTTTCAGAAAAGATGTCTGCTGTTGTTATGTTTATTCATGTGTTATAATTTATTTTAAAATTTTTTTATCTGTATTATTATTGATTATGATGTGCTTTGATGTGGTTTTCTTTATATTTCCTCTGTTCATTGAGATTCTTGGATCTATGAGTTCATAGTTTTCACCAGGATTGGAAAATATTCATTTATTAAGTCTTCAGATATTTTTTTCTGACATCTGCCCTCTCTCTCTTCATTTGGGCTACAATTACACATATGTTAGATCACCCAATATTGTCCCAAAGGTCACTGATGTTTCTTTTTTTTCCTGTTTTCTCTATGTTTCATTTTAGAAATTTCTATTGCTATTTCCTCAAGTTCATGATCATTTCTTTGCAGTTATTGGGTTGTCGGAAAAGTAATGACGCATTTTTGCAATGAAAAATATAGAAAAAATATGTCATGACTTTTCCGACAACCCAATATAATCTGCTGTTAATCCCATTCTCCCTCCTTCCCTCCTCCCTTTCTCTCTCTATCTCTATCTCTCTCTCCCTCTCCCTCTCCCTCTCCTCCTCTCTTCCTTCCTCCCTTTCTCAAATGTGTTAATATATATTTATTTTAGGTAGTCTATTTACCATCTCTAGAAGTTTTAGTTAAAATTTTATATCTATTATTTCTCTCCTCATGTTCATATTTTCCTCTACTTTTGAGCATATGGCATATATTTTTAATAGTTATTTTAACATGCTTATCTGCAATGCTATCATCTTTTTCAATTCTAAGTCAGTTTTGTTTTGTTTTGTTTTGTTTTTTAGCTGAGCCATCCTGCCACCTGTTTGCAGCTCAGTGGCAGCTCAGCTTGGGCCAGAATTGAACCGGCGTCCCTGTTGCTCAGAGCTCACAATCTTGAGCAAGCTCTTAACCAACTGAGCCACTCGACCAGCCCCCTAAGTCAGTTTTTATTGATTCAGTTTTCTCCTGCTTATGGGTCATATTTTCATGCATCTTTGTATGCTTGGTAACTTGTTACTGAATCCTAAATGTTGTACATTTCATGTTCTTAGGTGCAAACTTTTGTTGTTTTACTTTAAATATTGTTGAACTTTGATCTGGGACACAGATTGAGTTACGTGGAAGTGCAGGTATCACTTTTTGAGTCTTGCTTTTAAGCCTTGTTGGGAGGACCCAGGGCAACCCTTATAGTGTGGGGACCCTACCAAATGAGGCCTCTTCCCAGTGCTCTGTGTATTCACAGGACCTCCCAGTGCTCTGTGTATTTGGAGGACCTTGCACTCTGGCTGCAAAGAACATGAACTCTTCTCATCCCTTTGTGAGGTCCAATGATTGTTCCACTCAATGATTGTTCCACCTGCTCATTCTAGTGATTCTTTTTTCAGCCTCAGATGGTTTCTTCATGCTCATATGCAGTTCAGTACCAGCCAGAGACTCCAAGAGACACCTCTGCAGGTTGCTGGAGCTCTCTCTCCTTGTGAAGCTCACTGCTCTCTTGAAAATTATAGCCACAGTGGCCTCTCTGAACTCCAAACTGTTATTTCAACTCACATACATCGCTGGTCTCTGTTTGGATTCTCCCTGCCCTTGCTGGCACCTGGAAACAACCTAAAAGCAGTAAGCTGGCAATCATAGGTCCCATCTGGTTTCCCTTCTCTTAGAGATCACTGTCCTGTGATGTCTGTTGTCCAGCATCTGAAAACTGTTTTTTCTTTTATATATGTTGTCCAGTTTTCTGGTTGTTTAAGGAGGGAGAGTAAATCTGATCTTTGTTAACTCCATCATGGCTAGAAGCCTCAATTAGATTTTTAGCACAAAGAAAATGCTAATGTGCTTGCCGCCTTGGATAGTTTAACCCAAATGCTAGCCATGGAATTATATTGGGTTGTTGGAAAAGTCATTACGCATTTTTGCAATGAAAAACATAGAAAAAATACGTCATGACTTTTCCGACAACCCAATATAAGGAAATCAGACGTATTTACTGTATTTTCTTCCTAGATTAAAGCATGTATAGGGAATTTTGAAACTTCTTTAATAGTACAAGGTGCTTTTAATAAGGGAGAAAAAAATTGATGCCAAGTGTTGGAAAGATTTCACTTAACCAAACTTCCTTTTGACTGGACATCAACATCATTCATGAATTATGGAGCATTCAGAGACCCTATTTGCCATTACCAAACTGTCTGGAGTTGCTAATTTTATTCTTTTCCCTTTCTTTTTTGACATTTAATTATAAAAGTAATTTATGAATCATTTGCATATAAATAGGCAGTATGAGATTGGTTATTTTCATATCTTGTGCTGTACTTGTGCATAAGATCTTTTGTTCTCAAAATGCATCCCTTTTAATTTTCCCAACTTTTTGTTTTGAAATTTTTCAAACCTATAGAAAAGTTCAAAGATTGTAACAGTGAACACATGTGTATGCTTTACCTAGTTCACCACTTCTTAACATTGTGCTACATTTGCTTTATCTCTCTCTTTTCATAGATAAGGCATAAATATAGCCTAGAAAAATATTTTTGGCAGAAACCTTTGAAAGTAAGTTTCAAACATCATAAAACTTCACCTCTAAATACTTGACAATGAGTCTCCTAAGAATAACTTCATTCTTCATTGTAACATACCCTTATCACATCTAAGAAAATTAACAGTAATTCTGTAATAAAATATATTCAAATTGAGATTTCCCAATTTGTCTTTAAAATGGCTTTCATAATTGGATTTTTTTTCCAGTCAGGATTCCATCAAAATTCATATTTTGAGTTTAGCTGTTAAGCACCTCTTTATTTTGAATGTCACAAATAATTTAATATAAGACCAATTCTTTTAAACCTGTCTTCAGCCTAATTTTGAAGGCTTAAGTAATTCTCATGAAAGTCTTTAACATCTATTGCATGAATGTCTTAATTTCATTGCCTTTTGAACTGTTAATAGGAAATATATTTTATGATAACAAAAAAATTGGTGAATACAAAGGAGACTTTGAAATTGATTCCATGTACCTTTTCATTTTCTGAGGTTAGTGTTATCAATATAATGTTCATTAAATAGACTGGATATTAGTTGATATTAAGAAATTCTTGCTAATTTTGTTACGTGTGATAGTGATAATGTGATTGGGTTTTTAATTTAAAATGAAATGAGATATCTGCTAACTGATTTAAAATAATCTAGGCAGTGGGGAAAGAGTGTGGTGATACTGATAAAACAAGATTAGCAAAATGTTAATTTTTGAAGGTGAGAATTGGGAGCATGTATTTCTTTTGCTGTTTTCTCTACTTCTGTGTATATTTAAATTTTCCATAAAGATTTGAGAAATATAAACATAACAAAAATAAGTACAATAACAAATTAAAACTACTTAAAACTAAAAAGATATTCTTCTAAGTGACACTTGAATTAAAAATAAAATTCAAAACTAAACTCACAATCTATTTAGAAGATAATGAAATCATAACACTAAATTTAAAAATCTTTGAGAAGTGTTTAAAGTTTCAAATGCTTTGATGATGATAATGGTTCAAGGAAGAGTGACAATAAGTGAACTAAATATTAATGCCAGAAACTAGAAAAAGAACAAAATAAACATAAGGAAAATAAGAAAAAGAATTAAAGAAACAAATTAATAATTCAAAATAAAAACCAAATTAATGTATCAGTTCAAGAGATGGATATTTGAAAACAAGAATGACACCTAAACCACTAGATACAACAATTAAAATGGAAGAAAACCACAAATAGGGGTGAAAATGAACATCTGAACCTGAGACAAGAATAGATTTTTAAAATATAAGAGAATTATTAATATGTGAATAAATGAGAATTGTGATGAAATTAATAGTTTATAGAAAAATCTCTAGGAGAATCCGATTATATTTACATTAGAACAATATAAATAATCTAATACCCATGGAAGAAGCTTAGAAAACTGATAGAGAACTTTTTTTTTTAATGACACCTGGGTATTTATCAAATGTCTGGAAATGTGTGAGAAATGCCTCTTTTGTGTGACTTGATGCTCCCATCTCTTGCAGTGTAACCCTAGTGCATCCACATATGGTTCAGAATATGTCACACACAAGCAATGCATCCACATATGGTTCAGAATATGTCACACACAAGCAAGAGCGTCTAAGGGCAGGCTTACTTTTTTTCATGGAAGCAGTCTAAATAGCTAATAATAGAAGATTACTTTAGTAAATTGTAGTCTAAGTTAAAAAAAAGAATATTTAATTTCATGGGGAGAAAATGATCATGATATATGAACATGACCATGATTGATTTTTTTTAAAAGTTACTGAACAATCCTAGCTTTTGTAAATATGTGCTCATTTGTGGGGGAAAAGTACTAAAACAGTATACATGAAGGTATAAAAATAAACATCTCCGGATGGTAGAAATATAGACGCTTTTAATTGGGGATACAATGTGTTTATTTAGCTTTTAAATTTCCTGCATATAAAAATATGTATTACATTGTAACAAGAAAAATATAATAAAAATGAAACTGGATGGTATGAGAGCAATACTGGAAAATAGTGACTACATAATTGTAAATCTACATTTTTTTAACTAATTATGGACTAAGTTCACAAATATAAGCTGTATCTGAACCAAAGGGATATTAAAGTGATGAGTGTGTTTACTGTCTCTCTCAGTTGAATAAACTTACATATTCTCAGGTTGCTCAGTAGTACATATAAACAAAATAGTTAATCATTACTGGTGTATTTTCTAGGGAGTTTATAATTGACATGTAAATTCTCTTCAAAACTACTTATGTGAACAATTTCTTAATGTTTTCCAGTTCCTGAGAGCTGAAATGGGTCACGACTACCATTTGGCAAAAAAATTATGTCAGATGAGTAAGTGCAAAGTACTTTTCTATTTGCCAATCTTCTCTTTGTTTCTGAATACATTCCACAATATGCAAGATGGTTTGATGATCATAATCCTAGTGAATTTCCCTGATAGTGTCTCAGTGATCCCTTGATAATAAATTAGATTGACTGGTATAAGGACTAATTTAGACATCTAGACTAACTTTGAGTGGGATCAACTAACAGGCTAATTACTGCCACTGGAAAATAAGTCAAAATCCTTACCTTCGTGACAATAGATAGGTACCTTTATGCCTTTGGCTTCAAAAGAAGTATCAGGTAGTGCAGCAAACCTTACTTAACACACAATTAGTCCATAAACAGTTGAACACCTACATGTGTCAGGCACTGTAGTAGGCACTGGAAATACAGCAGTCAAGACAGATAACAATGCCACATTTAGATCTAGTGTCAGGCAGATAATAAACTCATATATAAAGAGTGCATCATAAGTGAAAGCTGCTATGGAGAAAAAACAAAGTAGGGAAGAAGGAATAGGAAGTACTGGGAAGAGGCAAAGCAGTTTTAAATGGAATGGTCCTGGAAGGCCTCACAGAAAGATTGGAGCAAAGACTTGAAGAAGTTGAGGAAACTCGTCATGTGGATCTCTGGAATAAGCAAGTTCCAGGCAGAGCGACTAGCTATGTGCTGAGCTGCGGGCATACCTGAAAGACAGCAAGGACAGCGTAACAGGAGCAGAGTAAGCAAGGGGAAGTATGAAAGGAGATGAGGTCACAGAGGTTATGGGTGAGGAGCTGAGCAGATGGCACAGCACCTTTTCACAATTTAAGGGTCTTGGCTTTTTCTCTGACCGAAGTGGGAAACCACTGGATGCTTGAGTAGAAGAACGATATGATCTACCTTACTTTTCTTTCTTCTTTGTCTTTTAGTGGTTTGACTTGATGTTCAAAATAGTTATGGTTTTCTTTGTCTTTATACAAAGGGAGGTTTGGGAGGTTTGCTGAGTTTCTCAAATCTGTGGGTTGATGATTTCATCAGCTTTGAAAATTTCTTGGCCATTACCTTTTCAAATAATGACTCATGCCCTATTCTCTCTCTTCTCTTCCTGGGTCTCCACTTACACATAATTTAGACTTTTTTTTTCATGGTTTCCCACATGTATCTTATACTTAGCTCTGTTTTTTCCATTTCTTTTTTTTTTCTGTGCTTCAGTTTAGGTATTTTCTATTGACCTGCTTTTGAGGTAACGTAGCCTATCTTATCCACTGCTGTTAAAACTATCCAATGAGTTTTTTATTTCAAAGATTGTATTTTCCAAATTTTAGAAAGTCCATTTAATGATTTTTCAATAATCCAGCTCTTTGTTGAAATCCACAATATTTTCAAACTATTTTGCCCATCTTTTTCTCTCATTCATTTGTCATAGTTATTTTAAAAGTGAAACGGCAACTCTATAATTAAACTTTGTTGATAACAGGACTCAAAATATTAACTAGTGTTAGATTTAAGTCTCATGGTAAAAGTCCTTGACGTGAGTATGTAGCATAGGGACTGTGAGGGTCTAGTCTTACCTCACACAGAATCCCCACTATGGATACAGTACTTCTTAAATCATGGGCTAATTTCCAAAATGGGCTTCTTGACTATTTTATATCCAAGATAATTTGCCTTGTTTTGTACTTTGGACCTTTAAATATTTTTATCAAAACTATGTTTGGTGGCCCACAAACATAGAATTTCCAATCAGAAGGAACCCTTAGAATCATATCCAAGCCTCTATTTTTATAAATAATGAAACTGAAGAATAAAGAAGTTAAGCAGCTTGCTCAGCCCCACTTAGGAGCTGGTGACACAGCCAGAACTGGGACCCATTTCTTCTCGGTGGGGCTAGTGTAGAAATGAGTGACTCTGTAGCTCTAGTTCCCAGTTCTCTGAATTTCTTGTGGAGCCTAACTGTAGGAAAATTTATATATCATATTTCCATATTCATCGATCATTTTTAGAAAGCCTCTCGCTGAAGCTTACAAAATCCATGCACTGATATCACCACTGCATCTGTCAGTCAGTTTTGCCATTAGCCCTGCAGTATGCTGCATAAACATCAGGTGCACAATAAAATGCTTATTGACATGACTCGAATCAGTGAACACACAGTAAGTGCCAGATCAATGGGGATGGAAAAAAATCCAAATTGATCTATCTTGACGGGGTTATATCCCTTTAAAAACTCACTCCCCTCTTTCCTTCCTTCCTTCCTTCCTTCCTTCCTTCCTTCCTTCCTTCCTTCCAACAAATACATATGGAGCACCATATCTGTACCAGACGTCATGTTAGGAGCTGGAGAGAAAGCACACATGCTCTAAACCCTCTTGGGGTTGGCATAGTCATGGTTTGGTTTGGCTTCCACCCCTACGGCTCATCCAGTAACACTGTTCACTCTTTTCTGTCCGTGTCAAATAGTGGTGCCTCTAACACTAAGGACTAGACTATAGGAAGAAGAGCTATGGAGGGCCGTAAGACAGGCACCATGACCCAGAGGGCCAGTTGGGAAAGAGCACTGCTCCCAAGAGGAAAAAGAGGCTGACAGGAAATGTGGAAAAGAGGCTCAGAGAAGGGGGTCAGGGGTGTGGAGTGTACAAAATTAGATTGGCTACCCCTGAGGTAGATTCCCAGCCAAGAATGTGAAATTAGGGAGGTCCAGGTTTAGCGATGCCAGGCAAGTTCAAGAAATAATGGAAAGCTGGATACAGACTCAGTCTCGGGGAAAAGGAAATGTTAGTTTTTTGATACTACAGGAACATTTAGCTGAGGGCTGCCCAAAGTCCCTCTCCGTATCAGTGCAACAGACAAAATGAATTTTTTCTATCATGGAAAAAATGTTATATGTAAATTCTTACAGTATACATATTCTTTTGTCTCTTTTTTCCATCTTCTAGCTCTTCTCTGTGTGCTTAGTTATACATTTATAAATTTACATATGTAAACGTAAATTATGTATTTGCATATTTATATATTTATAAGTGTGTTATTTAGCACCCACTAGGGGAGCATTTATATTACATTGTTTAATTCTTAAAATAATTCTGTAAGCCTGACTTTTTTTTTTTTTTAAGATTTTTATTGGGGAATTGGGGGATGGGATCAGCGCTGGGGAATTGGGGGAAGGGGAACAGAGGAAGTTGCTGTCGTTTTTGTTCTTCAGTCTAGTTGTGGAGGATGTTGCTTCACTGGCCCAAGTTGGCACCATCATTGCGCTCTTCCCTGGCGAGGCAGATCAGTC